TCCTCCTGTGATGACTGAAATCGAGTGGCAATTATGCTAATAGGTGGTGATAGCTGTAAAGCAGGTCACTGCGTGACCAAATCTGATTTTACAACCTTTTACAGGTGACTCTTATTGTTGAAAAGGCCATTTTTATCCCTGGTTCCACTAAGCAAAATCTTTGCCAAAGCTGTTTAAAGAACTGCACCTATGAATTATGACCTGGCTGTATGAGAAGATTCGAAAGCTTTCTGTTCCAAAATGTTAGTCTGAATTTAGCAGCACATTTCCATGTGTGCTAAGTATGCGGAGAATTGCATCTCACATAAATTATACTTGATGGGATCAGATTTTGTGGCAACCGGTCTTGTTCCTAGGTAATTATTGTAATCAAGTAATATTCTCTCCTATTACTCAGTTCATTCAGTGAAGGGGTCTAAGAGAGACAAAATCTCTTGAAATGATCAGTGGCGGAAAGACCAAAAATGTGGCGGAACAGACAAATGCATTTGAAATGCAAAACACGCACTCACTGAACCAGAAGTTGATGTTGTAGTCTGGGCTATCTTTTAGGCTCTTAAACATTTTGCTAAGTAACATCAGTGCAGGAGACAGAAAAATTAGGGTTGTGTATGACAAATTTCAAATGTATATGTCTATCATGTCAGTGATACATAGTTAATGGAAAGGACTCTGGATTGCAGTGGAAGTTGGATACATGCAAATAATCATGTGTATAATAATTATTAATTTTTATTACATTTTGTAATATAACATGAAAATAAAAAGGAGGAAAGCAAAAAGGGTGGGCTAGGGGGAAAGAGAAGAAAAACGCTGATTTCCAACTTTTTTCAGCACAATAGAATAAAAATGGCAAAGTACAAGTTTTTTAAAAACATACTTTTTTATTTTTATATTTTAAAAAACATCTCTTGGCGAACAGTGTGGTTCCAGATTTTTACATTTCAATACAAACATGACAATAGTTACATATTCATCTTATTCAATTTCATATCACATTATTACTTATTCTATTTTCCTTTAAATATTCTCAAATATTAATTTCATTATACTTATTTTATCCAATTCCAGTTCATATCTTCTTAACTTACTTCATTTTTCTTAACATATTCTCATGTCTTGTTTTACAATATTATCTAAGATTCTTATTTCGTTTCTATATTCATTACACATATTGCTTTTATCTGTCACGTGCAATTTTATCATGTTATTCCATCCATTATTCGATAAATTTCATCCTTATTCTAAGCAAAGTACAAGTTTTACAGTAGGTGGCAGCACCAAAGCCAACTTCAACTGATTGCCAGAATTTAAACCAGATTAATCCTTGCATGCACCAGAGTCTGGGGAACTGGAGAGACTAGCGTGGAAAAAAGAAACAAAGCTATTGCCATCTGCTGCTAAGAAAACTGGATGTCATCACCAGGGGCTGAGCTCAGCTAAACAGCCATTTGTCTCTTATTCAGAAATGAATAAGCTGACTGGGGTTATTTTAAGGAAGTAGCAGCATGTACTAAAATAAGACAATTGAGTCCCATTGCTTAAAACAGGAAGCTGCACATGCTCAGTGAATGCAAACTCTGCAGAAAAAAGGAAGGAGTCAGATAGGCTGAAAATCTTCGGTGGCCCATGATGGTTTTTTTTTTAAAAAACAAGGCAGCGTGGAAAAGGAGGATGGGCTTCCACATAGGTTTTTCTGCTTGAGCAGAGGTTGGACTAGATGACCTACAAGGTCCCTTCCAACTCTGTTGTTGTTTGTAGTTTAATGACTCTTGCGGGGTGGAGTCGGGGTAACGGAATGGAGGTGAGTATTTCCTGGCTGGATGCCCTTCTTGTCGCCAATGCGGAGTTTTTGCAGTGGATATTTTCATCCTCGGGAGAAAAGAGACACAAAGAAGAGCAGTGGGGGGGAGGTAAGGTGTCAACCTATTTTCCAAAGGAAGGCAAGACAAGAAACAATGGATGGAAACTAATTACCTTGCAGCCTTACTCCCGAGTAACTGCTCTTTCCTGTGAGCAACCCTGCATGCATGCTCACTTGGCACAGGCTCCTCGGGAACCTCCTCATCACTGCTGCCAGCCCCCACAATCTCTGAAGGCGGCAGCAGTCCACTCCCAAGTAGTCCTGGCCCCTCATCTGAGTCTTCGCTCTCCTCCACCGTCCACACCTGCTGCTGGCTAACCACAACAAAAGCTGAGTGAGCAATCCCTAAAAGCATTATAATACTTTCAGTGATGCTTCTCTTACTTTCTTAATACTACACCACTGAATTACTCTTTTTTTCCCCCTTGCCACTGCACACTGGGGCTTTGTGGGGCTCTTCCATAATTTCATAACTGCAAGATTTACCACCTGATCAAAAACCCCATTTTATGACCTTGAAAAAAAATCACTTCTACCCACTCTGAGAAAAGATTTCAGTCCTCAGGCGAATTAAACTGGGGCTAGGGATACAGTCTCTCCAATGCGGTTGCATTTTCTGTTTTTTTTTTTTTTTAAATTTCATTTTATTTTGGTGGTTTCTGATAAAATGCCCCACAAGGGATTCCTTAAGCGTGTAGTTTTGTGTCTTGCATCTCTTGACTTATAAGCACCCCTCCCTTCAGAGCCAACTCAGTGAAAGCTGAGCCGACTTCAATAGAGTCGTTTTGAATGCTTGCATTTGTATTTTGTTTTTTTAATCTTAAAAATCTGATTGGTTTCTCATAGAAACGACACAATAATTTATCCAACTATTTACAAAGTCTACACTACTATTACTGTTAATCTTCTCATTCCCTCATCACCCATCCCCTCCCACTTGTGACTGTAGGACTAACTTTGTCGCTTGTATCCTTACGATTTATATTGACTGTTTCAGAGGTGGCATTCCGCAGGTTCTGACCAGTTCTGGAGAACCGATAGCGGAAATGTTGAGTAGTTCAGAGAACCGGCAAATACCACCTCTTCACTGGCCCCGTTCCCATCTATTCTCTGCCTCCCATTGAGTCCCAGCTGATCGGCTGGGTCTTCTTTAGTTGCCCTGCACAGGAGAATGGAGCTGGAAAGCAGGTTAGTGGGGTGGGGAGGGAATGTGGATTTTGAAGTAACCTTCCTCCTGGAGTGGGGTGGGAATGGAGATATTACAGTATTCTTCCCCTGCCATGCCCACCAAGCCATGCCCACCAAGCTACACACCCATAGAACCGGTAGTAAAAAAAAATTGAATCCCACCACTGGACTGTTTCCTAGTATGATTTGATTGCTTATTGTACCCTATGGCTATTATTAAATGTTGTACCTTATGATTCTTGATGAATGTATCTTTTCTTTTATGTACACTGAGAGCATTTGCACCAAGACAAATTCCTTGTGTGTCCAATCACACTTGGCCAATAAAGAATTCTATTCTATTCTATTCTATTCTATTCTATTCTATTCTATTCTATTCTATAATGAAGGTAGCTGTGAAAGCCAGCATGATGTAGTCCAGGGGTGTCAAACTCCATTTCATTGAGGGCCACATCGGGGTTGTGTTTGACCTCGGGGAGGGGGGGGAGTCGGAGTAGTTGTGGCCAGGGTGGGCATGGCCAGCTCGAAGTTACTGGTGTTGGGGGCGCCTGTGATGGCCTGCGCGCTCTGCTAGCGGAAACGGGCTTCTGAGCTCAGTTTTTGGCTGCAGTGGCTTCCTGCCAGCAAAAACAGACCTAGGGAGGGCTGCCCATGGCCCTCGTAAGCTCTGTTTTTGGCTGTGATGGCCTCCTGCAACCCTATGCCAGCGAAAACGGAGCTCACGAGGGCTGCCCATGGCAAGCCCTCCCAAGCTCCATTTTCTCTGGCAGAGGCACAGCGGGCCAGTCCTTCACTGTTTCCAGGGCAGCCCCGTGGGACAGATCTAAGCACTGTGTGGGCCTGATCTGCACCCCCCAGGCCTTGAGTTTGACACCCCTGATGTAGTGATTATGGTGGTGAACGAGAACTGGATGGACATGGGTTCTAGTTCTCCCTCAGCCCCAGAATCTAAGAGGCCCTTCCCTCTTAGTCCATGTGGTCTAGTGGAGAAGGTAAGAGCAGGAGATGCAGGTTCTAGTCCTCCTTTAGCATGACGTCAGCTGGGTGATTGTGGGTCAATCTTTTCCACTCAGATGAGCATCAGTCCCTGGGACAACCTGGGTGGGGGGGAAACAAAACATCTCAAAGTGGAGTGGGAGCGTTGTGGCCCACAGGCTTCCAGTAGAGATAGCTGCAGAATCAGACAAGAAGGAGGTTGGGGGAGATTCTGGGCCAGCTTCGGAGCCTTTGGAAGGCTCTGATAAGGAAACAGCATCAAAGACAGAGGCAGAGCTGAGGCCTTCCATCCACCCCCAGGTGGAGAGGCCCCTGTCTTCGGGGCCTGAGCTGAGTGAGGGGTAGGAACAGGTGGGGCCCATCGCAGATGCACATATCCATAGAGAGGAGAGGAGAGGAGAGGAGGGCAACGGAAGGCAATAAGCCAGCTCTCAGGGAAAAGCAGATATAGATGCTAGCCCCTGTGGTAGGGGCTTGGGAGTGGCCGGTTATTGCAGAGAATCGTTCGCTTTTAGGATACAGCAAGCAATTCAGATTTCTTGGCCAGGTCTGTTGGGACTAATTATGTTTGATTTGTGTTTATCCACATGAATAAAAGACTGTTCCTACCCTGTTCGAAAAAGGGTTGGTTTGTACTTGCAAGTAAGCAGCCTAGCATTATTTGCTAAGGCTGGGTCAGAACAGGTAGCTTTTGTTGGTGGTACTAGACAAGGACAAGGGGCTAGGTGCTGAGAAATACAACAGTGATAATAATTAACGTGTGACCCTTCCAAGACCTAAGACAACAATCTTAATTTAAAACCAAGAAAGCCATCTGGGTCTCTTAAGAGGATTTGCAGAGAGGATCACCACGATTCCAGGCTTGTTTGCTAGATTTTTAAGATGCCAAGGAAGGAAGAACAGAGCTCCCACCACAGAGTAGCTAAACAAGAAAATGCAGAGAAGAAGGGAAATCACTTGTTTTATTGTTCTCTTAATTATGTACATCTAAATCAATTTTGTGACTTAAGCTAATTTTGCCTTTTAGGATTTTAATCACTTTCAGATCCAGATTCAAGTCTATCATCCCTAGTACACCTTCTTTGGCCAAAGCCATTGTGCAATTTTCTATTTACACTTGTGCCAAACCTTCCAAGAAAAGGGGGTGAGAAATCTATTCAATTAAAAAGGCAAGCATCTCGAGACTGGGATGCCAAAGAGCTGGAAAGCAAGCAGCTGTTTGTGAGCAACACTGACAACGCCCCCAGGGGAAAAGGGAGGGAGGGGAGCTCACAGAAAATCAAGTTAGCAGCAGCCATCTTGTCCTTTTGCAACCCCACCCTTCAGACCCCTCCACCCCTCCAGGAAAAGGAGATCACAGCAGGCCAATGTTTTGTCTTCACATCCCTGGCTCAAGGCAGCCATCCTTCTTGCCCTAAAGCTCTCATCCAGACTGAAGAAGCAAGGATGGGTTGCATGCTTATTTTAGACCCAGAAGCCAAATATTGCAAAATAAGTAGCTTCAAGCCACTGGAAGACTTCGGGTCCCTCCGATAATTAGGGCTCACGGCTCTTTCCATCTCTTGCTCAGGTTGAGCAGGACTAAAACAGATATTGCAGACTCTGTCCTTGTCCCATGACGTCTAGTGCTGCAGTTGTTGGTGTTCCAAAAGATCCCACGTCTTGGAGGCAATCATGAGAGTGACTTAAGTTTTTCCTCTCACATCCCAATCACTTTTCTCCACATTAACCAACACTCTTGAAGATGATCTCCTTTCCTCATTCAACTTCTTCCTGGTCTGGTAATCCTAAGGCTTTCAGCTGGATTTAAAAAAAGAGGAGAAAGGGGATCAGTGGGATTTATAAGTGTTTCTGAAGATTCTCAGTCATCCAGGTCATGGTTGTCCTAAAGATGCTTTTTCAAAAGGCAAATGGACATTCTGGGTTTATTTTTTCTTTGAAGACGTTTCTGTCAGGATTCCGGCAGTTGCCCTAATTAAATCATGAGTCTCGAGCCAAGCTTCAAAAACTTCAAAGAATTTATTAGGAGCGACCATGTCGGCATGATCTGTATAAAACCGATTCTGAGACATGTAATTTACTCTCACCCTTGAACCCTGGTTTTTCCCCCACCCCTCTGGGTATATCATAATTCATATTCTCCAACGAAACACATTCATAGCCAAGAGTCATCAATCACGTTCTCCAATTAGAGAAATTCTCCAATTTCCTCGGCAGAAATTCTGGTAGCTTAATTATAATCTTTGGAAGATAAGAATGGAGTGTACTTTCGGTTCCAAACTGCTGCACTGCTTTTTCAAATTTCTCCTCCCCTCTTTGTGTTCATGGCAACTCTAAGACAAGCCTAGAAATGTTTTATGAGTTGACAGTTTCGCTTCTCATCCCAGAAACGTCTTCAGCTCTGACTGGATGGTCCTTCCATTCCCCACCCATCCAGTCAGAGCTCAAGAAGATTCTTGGAGGACAAGCGAAAAGGTCTTCAAAGAAAGAAAAAAAAACCAGAAAGTCCAGTTGCCTCTTGAAAAAGCACCTGTGGGATTTATAAGCGTTTCCAGATTCCTTGCAAGATGACAGCAAGTTCTGAGCCAGAAGCTTGAATACATGCCAACCAATCAATGGTGGGTTTCCAAATGGTTTCCTATCAGTTCTATGCACATTTCTATGCACACATGCTTCGTGCGCGCACAAACACTTTGCATGCATATGGATGGCTCAAAGACCGACCTCTGTCAACGCTGGTAAGTTGAGCTGTTTTTTAGCTCAGCTGAGGCATGGCAATCCACTCTGCCGTGCGATTCAGCTGAGCTAAAAAAACAAGGGAATACAGGAGAGGTAAAGGTGGGGGCAGGTGGGCGGGGCCAACCAGAGATGATATTTGCCAATTCTCCGAACTAGTCAAAATTTTCACTACCCGTGCACTAGAACCGGTCCAAATCAGCTGAATACCACCTCTGCAACCAATGCTTCTCAATTGAGAAACAAGTTATCATGAATTGCCTATAAGATTTTTCTCCTTTCTTATGCCTGAAAGGGACATGAAAGGAGTTACCAACTTCCAAGCAAGTAAACGGACATTGATGGTGGTTGGCCACACGTATCCAGAACTTTGCTGGAGCTCAGTTAGAGTTTGCTGAATATCAAGATAGCCTTCCTAAAGGACGTAGAATGTGCTTGCTTAATTCTACAGCTTATTCCTACAGTTCGGTGGGCAGGACTTAATACAAAAATAGCCCTGACATCAAATGGTCCATGCGTTGACATGAGAAAAAAAAAATACCCCAAATTTTCCCATCTCACTAAAGCAGAGGTGGCATTCAGTAGGTTCTGACCAGGTTTGGAGAACCGGTAGCGGACATTTTGAGTAGTTCGGGGAACCAGCAAATACCACTTCTGACTGGAGATTTTACAGTATCCTTCCCCTGCCATGCCAACCAAGCCACGCCCACAGAACCAGTAGTAAAAAAAAAAAAATTGAATCCCACCACTGCACCAAAGTCAATAATTTGAAATGTTGCCTGTTCTTAGGCAAAATCTTAATAATAATAATAATAATAATAATAATAATAATAATAATAATAATAATAATAATAATAATAATAATAATAATAATAAATAATCTGAACTCTCATATGTAGCTGCCTAGAGATGGGTGGTGTACAAATTTAATAAATAAATATTCTTGCCACAGATCTGCTATTTTTAAAAATGTCCCTATTCAGAAGAAAATTAAGTAGGAGGCTCAGAGACACTATTTAATGTAACTGTGGTCACCCTGGTGCCCATAAACACATTGGTGCATGTGCTTGAACCAAACTAGACATTGTAATGACACTGGCTTTATATAAGCTCTATACAAAAAGCAGATTTTTTTTCTCTAAGATTTTCTCTTATGTATGCACACTCATAAGGGCCATGGTGGTTCAGTGGCTAAGACTCTGAGCTTATCGATCAGAAAGGTCGGCAGTTTGGTGGTTCGAATCCCTAGCGCTGTGAACTGGAGTGAGCTCCCATTACTTCTCCCAGCTTCTGCGAACCTAGCAGCTCGAAAGCACATTAAAAAAATGCAAGTAGAAAAATAGGAACTACTTTGGTGGGAAGGGAACAGCGTTCCATGTGCCTTCGGCATTTAGTCATGCTGACCACTTGGCCACTTGACCATGGAGACATCTTTGGACAGCGTTGTCTCTTTGGCTTAGAAACAGAGATGCACACCGCCTCCTAGAGCCGGAAATGACTAGCGCGTATGTGTGAGGGGAACCATTACCTTTACCTATGTACACTCACATTCCAGATTCATGAACTAGGATGCTGGGAACGAAAAGTAAACTGTAAATGACCTGTGACCAGCTTGGAAACAGGGTTGAGGGAAAGCACCCACGTCACCTAAGAACTCCCCCTACTACAGAAACCTGCTTTCCTATTATTATTATTATTTATTATTATAGGGCAAGCAACTCTTCTGAACAGGACTGATACCTGATCATTTCAGAAGGAGTCCTTCCTAGCAAGAAAGGGACAAGTGACACTGAAAAAGGTAGAGCAGCCCTGAGGCTTCTTCACAACAAAGACCATCTCCTGAAGCTGCTAAGCCAGGGTTGGGATGCTACTGGTTCGGCCTGGTTCTATAGAACCGGTAGCTGCAAAGAGCAGCTAACACCGAACCGGTTCGGTGCTTGGCCTACCTGCCTGCCCAGGCTCTAGACTGTCCTTTATTCCCTTCTCAGCTGCTTTGCACGGCACAGCTGAGATTGAAAAAGCAGGCAACAAGAAGGTTTTCAAACGCTGCACACCTGTGCACAGCGCTTGTCAGCTGTCCAGGCAGCACCGCTGATGATTTCTTGCAAACGCTGCACACACGCGTTATGATTGTCTGCAGTTCAGAGAATTGGCAAATCTCTCCACTGGCTGGCTCCTCCCCTCCCTTCCCCACTCATTCCTTACCTGGCATACGAGCCATCCAACTTGCCTGGTTTGGTAAGTTGCTATTTTTCCTTTTTTCCCCCTGACCATCAGCTGTTCTGGTCTGCCAGGAGATTTAGTTTAACTAGAAAGCAAGAAATCATTGGATTTCTTGCTTTCTAGCTAATCTAAAAGCAGAGCCAAACCTTCCTTAGGACTGAAGCTTCTACTTTTCAGTGCAGACTCAGGTAGCCGATTGCAGATAGATAGATCTCTAAGTGAATCTATGATTCTGTGAGCAACTCAATCTGCCTGCCTGCTTTGCCTGATTTTGGGTAAAAGTTGCTCTTTTTTATAAAAAAAATCAATATTTACATAAATATTTATAATAGTTACATACAAGCCACGCTCACCCAGTCACCACCAAGCCATGCCCAGTGAACAAGCCACGCCCACCCAGTCACATGACCACCAACCCACTCCCACAAATTAGGCCACACCCACAGAACCAGTTGCTAAGAAATTTGAATCCCACCCCTGTGCTAAGCCTCTGCTCAAGGACCTTTGAGGAATAGGAGGAAAGTAGGAACTGAAGACTACCAGATGTATAGTCATTCTGATGTCAGCATTCCAACTAACAAACTCCAAACCAATAAACTCTGAGACAAGCATTATCTCAAAGTCCCATTTTATTAGAGTTGTCCTATTGGCACATCTGGGAAAACCTAAATCTGAGAATTCTGGGTTTTCCCTTCCCAATAGAAAGTCAAAGATCCAATCCTTATACCCACCAGTCCATCATATGGTCCAATCAAACACCGTCCCAACTGGAGATATTTCATGAACCATTCCTTTTCCAAGTGCAGAATAACTTGTCCTTGACTTCTAGAGAAGTATGTTGTTGAGTCTACTCTTCCACCTCTCTATAAAATCCCCCCTCCTATTTTCCCAGGCACAAAATGTGGCAGCCTCGAAGCTTCTAAGTAAAACATGGCTTCCAAGGCTGACATCTGAGTAGCATGGACCTCTTCTTCTAAGCTACAGTGATGAAGAGTTACTTTAGGAATGTTCTCCTCATTTTGCTCCTCAAAGTTTGCCCAGGACAGACATACACAAGAAGAGAAGAGAGAGCACAAGGCTACTGTGTTCCCTCTTTTTTATACATCTTCTAAAATTCTCTTAGAGCCGTGATGGCGAATCTATAGCATGTGTGCCACGGGTGGCACACAGAACCATTTGTGCCGGCACGCGAGCTGCAGGCAAACTTACCTCACTGCACATGCATGTGCCTCACAGCTGATTTTCAGCAGGTTTGAGGCCTTTTTCAGCCTCCCAGAGGCTTGAGGAAGGTTTCTGCAGGCTTCTGCAGGCTTTTGCAGTCCAAAAAGTAGCCCTGTTTTGTCACTTCCTGTTTTTCTGGAAATACCGGAAGTGATGAAACGGGCCTAGTTTTCAGCCTGCAAAGCCTGCAGAAACCTTCCTCAAGCCTCTGGGAGGCCGAAAAAGGCCTCAAACTGGCCAAAAATCAGCTGTGAGGCGCAGTGCAGGTAAGGGATTGGGTGAGTGGGGATTGCGCACACACATGTAGGGGGCATGGGGGGCACACATTGCCTTCTGGGTGCTGGCACACAAGCACGAACATGCAAGCGCGCGCGCACAATTTTTGGCACAGGAGCCCAAAAAGGTTAGCCACCACTGTCTTAGAGGAACCTGATATATAAAGAACCTATTTTCACACATGTCCCAAGGAAAGCTGCAACACATTATACAAAGTTCTTCCTGAGATCTCTCTAACTTGGAAGGAACTTTTCCAAGGATGCTCTTATGAAGTGGGGATTCTGTTCGAGAAAGGGAGAGAAAAACCTTCAGTTTTTTTCCAGAATGTCACAATGCCTGCAATGTTGAGAAGAGGGTGACTTCCCTTCAGCTCAGCCAGAGCTCCAGAAACTCTGCTGAGTAAATATGAAGCCACAAAGTGCTTACCCTTCCCCGTTTAAGTCTTGTGGCATAACTTTACTGCAGTATTGTGTTAAGATCAGTGGATTAACCAAAGTTTAATCCTTGGGATTCCCAGCGGTTGTCCTACTTATCATAGCTAAAAGCTCTTAAAATCTCCTCCTCCTTTGCTTCGTGTTGCAGAGCATGGAATTTTCTGAGAAGGTTTAGTTTTTTTCAATTCAATTACTATGTTCTTCTTGAAACAGCTTATGAAAACATATGCAGTTGCAGGAATAAGACTGATGAAAGCACCAATTTCCTTTATCATTGATACCTTTTACAGAGAACTCAAGTGTAATTATCTCTCTCAAAGTGGACAACAGACAGTAGCATCTAAGAACATGTGGCTCAAGTTCATTTAAATTTAAACCATAGTTTTTTTTACCCTGGCAACTTTAAGATGGGTGGTCTTCAACTCCAAGAATTCCCCAGACAGCATGTTGGCTGAGGAGTTCTGGAAGTTGAAGTCCACCCATCTTAAAGCTCCCCCGGCTGAAAAGAAAACCAGTTTTAGATTATCTCTTACCCATCCACCTTGGCTTTGGATCCAAGGGCTGAAGTTTTCCTGCAGGTATTTTGTTCCAAAGCCCAGCACAAGATTCATGGGATGGTTGTCCACTGCAGTGAGTTTGGTTGTGGCTTCCATAATCAATGCAACTTTCATGCTCTTAACTTCATCCTCCGAAACGATTGTGGAGTCTATGAGTATCTCCTCAAGGAACTGGTCTGTCACTCTCCTGAAGAAGGCATAGGAGGTCATCATATCCCAGATACTCTGACAGAAGGTCTTATCCTTCTTCATCTGGAAGAGGAAAGAGGAGCTATTTTATTTTAATATTTATTTGTCTGTTTGTTTAGCCAAGTTCTTCAACACGTTGTCTAGGTTGTTTTATTTTTTTCAAATTGTGTTATATGAAGATTAGCAAGAATTCCTCAAGAAATTGGTGGAATGGATTAATGGATGGAAACTTATCAAGGAGAAATCCACCAAGAACTACTTAATCAGTGAAATCAGGGATGGGATTTAGCAGGTTCTGGCTTGTTCGAGTGAACCGGATGTTAAATTTACATCTGGTTCACCGAACCAGTAGTTGAACTGACCGCATGGTCCCGCCCATCTCACCCCTTCCAGGAGTCTCCACATGGCCGGTTTTTGATGCAGGTAAGTACAGGTTCCGTGCAGAGACTCTGGGAGGGCGAAAAATGGGCCTTCTGGAAGTCCAGAAACGGGTCTGTTTCTGGCTTCTGGAGGGCCTCCAGAACCCGGGGAAGGCCATTTTCACTGTCCCATAGGCCTGAGGGAAGCCTCCAGACTCGGGAAGGTGAAAAACAGCCCTTCTGGAAGTTCTGGAAGTCCAGAAATGGGCCTGTTTCTGGCTTCTGGAGGGCCTCCGGACCCCAGGGGAGGCAGTTTTTGCCCTCCCAGAGGCCTGAGGGAAGCCTCCAGACTCTGAGGAAGATGAAAAATGGCCCTCCCAAAAGTTCTGATAGGCCACGCCCACCATGGCCATGCCCTCCCAGCAACTGGGCAGAGAATCGGTTGTTGGGATTTTTGAATCCCAGCCCTGAGTAAAATGGCTTGCATCGAGAAGTTGTGGGTGGTCCATCAGTGGGAGTTTTTAAAGAAGAGATTGGCAGCCATTTCTCCAGAATAGTATAGGATCTCCTGCATGAGTGGGAGTTGGACTAGAAGACCTGCAAGGTCCCTTCCAACTCTGTTATTCTGTATTCTATTCTGTATTTTCATGAGGTTGTATGAGAAATTAAGGACCAAAAAACCCCCCCCAAAGATGCCCAATCACTGAAATGGTGCCTCTTGATAACGTTTATAAACTCTTGGCCTAGATGACTTGATGCCTGAGGACAATTTGAGCCTCATCATCTCAGATTCTAAGATAGTGTCATATGTATATCCTATTATATTTCTGTGGGAGCTCAAAATGGGTTACGTAGGACTCTCTCCATATTTTATCTCACCCATAAGCTAGCTTGTTTAATGTCACCCCTTATAATAATGGTGGGCTTTTTTGACAGTTTATTCCAGTAAAAATAATGTGTCCCTATCCATGGCTTTTCCAAAGACTTTTAATGAGATTTACTCCCAGGTAATGGCGTCTAGGATTAAAGACTCTGTGATTTTCTGAAATCACATTTCTAATGTATGTCTGTGAGAATACTTCCAGGTGCTCTAATAATTGAAAATCACAGACTTGATCTTTGGGGTGGGGGAAGTGGTGCTCAACATAGACAGGGGAACTAATAAATAAAGACATTTCAGAGTTGAGCCATTTCTGCTTTCTTGGGGGATTTTTCTCTTTGATAAACCAGGGTGGGGAATCTAATCGTCTTCTTTTAACAACCCCATAATCCCATGCCAGGTCGAGTCTGGGCAACTGTGTTTTAATGGCCAGATGCCTTTCCTGTTGCAAATGAGGAGTTTTGTTCAGCAGATATATTCTCAGTGTGCCCAGAGAAATATCTGCCTCTACCTAGGATCGAACTCACAGCCTCCTGATTGTGAGGCGAGAGCTCCACCACTAGGCCACCGCAACACTCCCAAGAATCAAATGAAGCTCCAAATTGCTCTGTGCTTTCTCTGAATTCAAGGGGAGATCTTTTTTCCTGTGCTGGAAGGAGGTTACACCTGGCTTTTAGGAGAGAGAAGACAGCACTGAAATCCACGCGCTAAATCGTAAAGGAAGAAAAACAAGGGAGTGAAGTGAAAGTTTCTCCAGTTAATTTGCAAACGGAGCTTTGGAGTCCATGCCACCTTAAGTTACCTTTTCCTCCAGCTCATCTCCTGACTTCCGTAACAAGGCAACTATTGCATCAACAACCTTTTCTTCGTTGTCTGGTAAAAAGATAAAAAATAACTGGCTGGTTTTCTTTTCTTAACACAGCAAGTAAAATAACAAAGCTCTTGGATGAATGGTTGTGTAAGATGCTACTAGAAATGATTTATTGCTTAGGTGCCATCACGTTGTTTACAATTCCTTCTTTGACCACAATTTTTTTTCATTTTTGAAAAAGAATGATTACTGGATAAACAGTAAATAAGCCATTCAAATGCCTTGAGCTTCCTCTCATTTTCAAAATTCTTGTTTGTTTCAACTACAAGCCTAACTAACCCTTATGGAAAACAAAAGTACAGTGGCTTATAAAAGCATTAGATTATTTTCCATTATGCTATGGACTTTGTCCCTTGCAACCAGGGGTGATGTCTACTTCTGCTATCAAATGAAAAATCTGAAATGAGCTCAGATGTCTCCTCCAGAGAAAGAGATCTCTGTGTTCTGACCCAAACCCTTTTCCAATAAAACAAACCCCAACCAAAGGGAACAGAAACCTTTTAATGATTCTTACGAATCCCCAGTTAAAAGGCTGCTACAAACTAATTAACTTTGATAAGCACGAGCCTCGCCAAAACTGTGCGAGGCTGCCAAGAATAACTGATAAGAAATATTTTACAACACAAGAGTCTTCAAATACCAACTTAAGATACTGCAATGTCCAGGAGGCTGGAGTTTCAAAACGTCTTTGCTTCCTGCAAAGAAGTTTCGCTTCATAGCTGGCTTTTATCTTATTGAAGGAGGGGCCATTACCTCGCAGCCTTACTCCTGAATCGCCCACGCTGTTTCAGCTGCTCTTTCCTGCGAGCAATCCTGCACCCACATGTACTTGGCACAGGCTTCTCGGGAACCTCCTCATCGCTGCTGCCAGCCCCCACAATCTCGAAAGGCAGCAGTCCACTGCCTAATAGTCCAGGCCCCTCATCTGAGTCCTCGCTCTCCTCAGCCATCCGCACCTGCAGCCGGCTAACCACAACACTCTGTCATGATCCTGCTTCTCCAGGCTGGCTCAGAGAGGCTCTATAAGGGTAAGTTGACTACAGGGCCAACAGGAGGGAGAACTTGGGTTGGCTGCTCAAGGGGATCAATTCCACTGACTGCAGCAGAAGGCCAAAGTGGCTGGAAGAGGCTGTGATGCTCACAACAGCTCTCCTTGGCCAGCATGGGGCACTGAACCAGCCAGTTGCTTTATATCGCTGGCTAAGGTTCCTGTTTTGGGGGACAGTGGTGCTTCTTGCAACAACGGATTTACTAAGCAGTTCCAGACTATGATACCTCTAATTATGTCACCATATAACAATGCTTCTCAACTTTGGCCACTTGGGAGGTGTGGATTTCAACTCCTAGAATTCCCCAGCCAGCATAGTTGAAGTCCACACCTCTTCAAGTGGTTTTCAAGTGAAAACCTGTTGGAATTCATTGTTGGAATGTATTTTTATGGAACAACTACAGTAGTATTCAACCAGTAGATGACAGTTTTTACACATTTGGGTCTATGGTATATGCTCTATGCTCTTTTGTTCTAAGTAGAGTTTCCTATTACAGTTAAATAGATAAGCAGTAAAGCACATGGTGATTGTACCCTTTGTTTGCACTGTGGTGCTCTATACAGTATAAACAAAAATTTTACTCTTTTTTACTAGAGGAGTTCAGTTCCCCCTCTTAGCTATCCCAATGACAATGGGTGTACATTCTTGCCAACCCCTCCTTTCCAAGTCCTTTATTTGATTTGCTTTGACTAGCTAAGCAAGATGACCGCTCTGTAACAGTGCTGCTGAGTAGCCATGGTTTGGAAACAAGGATCTAGAAATCTCTCAATTACCAGTTGAACAACAGCCTGGGAAATCGTTTGCCCTGTGCGTGTCCTGTGAATACGTTCAAGACCCCTCAGTAAAATATTGTGGAGAATAGTTGAATTGAAATGGGTGGAACTGCAATGAGGCATACAGAAAGCAAGTTAGGATTCCATCTAGAACTTGTGCTAAAATGGAAACTTTCTTCAGTGTCCATGTGGGCAAGGGATTGCAAATATCCATGAACAGAAAATCATTAGCAAGAAATGCCCCCATGAAGAAGAAACAAAACACTTTACCAAGTCCATCAATCCCAATTGGTGGGATTGGCTTGCTGGTTGAGCCACCATCTTCTTCTAGAGTCAATGAACGTTCCACTAGCGGGATGCTCTTCTTCCCATTGGGAAATCTGGAATGATCCACTATTTCAACGAGTTTCTCTGCCAAACGAGAGATGTCTGAGTCATCTAGGAAAGCAAGACAAAATAAGAGTGGAATTATTCCATTCAACCATCTCCCTTCAGCTAATGCATTATTCAGGAACATATAAATCTTCGCTGCATCGTCCAAAGCAGAGGTGGTATTCAGCAGGTTCTGACCAGTTCTGGAGAACCAGTAGAGGAAATTTTGAGTATTTCAGAGAACCAGCAAATGCCACCTCTGACTGGCCCCGCCCCCCATCTCTTCTCTGCCTCCCATTGAGTCCCAGCTAATCGGCTGGGTCTTCTTTGGCTGCCCTGCACAGGAGAATGGAGCTGGAAAGCAGGTTAGTGAGGTGGGGAGGGAATGGAGATTTTGCAGTAAGCTTCCCCTGCCATGCCCATCAAGCCACACCACAACCACCAAGCCATGCCCTCAGAACCGGTAGTAAAAACTGATCCAAAGATGCGTTTAGTCATTAGGGGAGAAAAATGAACAGTGGCCATTTTGGAATCCAGTTTGGCTCCATCACCAGAGTGTTTTGGAGGGAAAGGAGAACAGCCCGTGAAGATTACAAGTCGTCCTTGGCTTATGACCACAATTGGGACTAAAGGTACCTTTCCTAAGCAGTTAAATGAGTCGTGCCCAATTTTATGGCCTTGTTGAGTACCAAACAAATTTTCCCCATAAGGAATAATGTAGTGAGTCACAAGGCAGCCAACGCTGACAAGTTCTAGCTTGTGTGTTGAGCACCACGCACAATGAGGACCAGGACAAAATTTTCATATCAAAATGCACTGAGTACCAAATTTGATAAGTTTCAAAGCAGTTGAGTACCGAGGTATCACTGAACATAAAAGATGGACAAAGCTTCAAGCACCCATTCCAGTTGCCATCTTGACTTCTTCCATTGTGTCTTGTGGTCAACTGTTACTAGAAATAAGTTGTGGGAAGGTCACCTTGAAGAAAGGCTTCTATGCAATCAAAATTAATCCACCTGTCAGAGTATATTCATTAACTGGCAGTGATATGGTTAACAGAGTTAGACAATTGGGGGCTGGGAGTCTGGGCGTGGCTTAGCTGCTTATGTTTTTGCTTATGTTACATTGAAAGAATCTACAAATGGTATTGTAAACTTTACTCATATTATTATGTTTATAAAGAAGTTAATGATCCTGCTGAATCAGTCATCTGTGTATTTTCTGGACTCAAATTTTTGCTGCAAACTCTATCACACCTTACTGTATGCAACCCAAGTTATAGGAAACCCACGGCATGCTCACTTGGTGAACCCTCCACTCTGGTGGTCAGCTTCATGGCATGGCCATTGATGGAGTCCTGCTTTAGGGATACTCGAAGGTTCCTGCCATCTCTTCCTTGCGGCCTTAGGCAAGAAGGAATACAAAAGCATTTCCAGTTGGTTCTTGTCTTTGTCTTTGCTTTCTTCTTCTTCTTCGCCTTCTTCTGGTCCTTCTGCTTTGGTGGTTTATGATCTTCTGGAGAAATTTCTGGGAGAGTCACTTCTTCTTCCTTGGCTAGAGTATCAATTTGTACAGCCTCTTTCCTTTCTTCCTGGACTCTGGGTTCTCTTTCTAATAATTGCCCATATTTGCTCACAGACAGTCGCCGCTGTGCATAGACCATCAGAACTCTGAATTCTACGCTGGTTCTGTCTGTATCCTCCAAAGGGATTTCTTCCATGTTGGCCAAGCTGTTCTTGTATTCGTTGTTCATCTTGCAGGTTCTATCAGGTCCCTCCACTCTGTAGCAAAAAGAAGAAAACCCATGTCACTTTTAAGTTTCTAACACTCTCCCTTCTTTTCGACCATTTTAATTCTCAACTGAGGAATGTAACAAATGTTTTGAGATGTCAAGATGGTAGCTGGACAAAACTGTTTTACATCCAATACCCAAGTCCAAGGTTCAGAAACAGCTGAGATGGCATCTCCAAATGGTAAGACATTAATTAAAAAAGAGGCGAGGCTTTGATATTTTTGACCCCTTCCCATTGACTGCCCAGACCCATCCCTGAAGAAGAACCATCTCAGATATGGTGGCCAAGAATCAGAAGGAGTTGAATAGCACCTTTTCTGATTATCAAAGCTCACAAAAGTTTCTGCCTTTTAATAAAGTGAGTTTTAAAAAGAGCCAGTGGTGGGATCAGCTTACAGGGAGCCGCAACAGAGGGCTGAAAGAGCCACATATGGCTCCAGAGCTGCAGGTTGCAGACCCCTGGATTATACCGTTTGTTCTACAGCATTTTGTAACTTCAAGGCTTGCTTTGTGCATTTTGTTATTTGATTTTAATTAGTTTGTCTGGCAAAGGCCAGCAATGAGTTGGGGTTTTTAATCTTATTTTAACAAATATAATTAATCCTAGATGCTGGGTTCCTTGGGGTTTTAATCCTGTCTTGAATGGATTACCAAATCTGCATTTCTAAAAGTTGGCCCCTTAGTTTCTACTTGGGGCAGAGAGCTGAGGCTCTGAGTTTCTGTCTTTAGAAACATGTTTGTCTTTTAGGGAAAATATAATATTCTGCCTTTTAAATATTTCCTGGAATATTTCATTCTTTTAAGGGGGTGGGTGCTAACTTTCTTCACTAGTTTGGATAATGAAATGTCTACAAGAAAACAAGCAAGCTCAGAGACTATCAAGGATGCCATAGTCTTCCTCCTCCTCCTCCTCTTCCTCTTCCTCCATTTCACAAACCCTACTGCCATCTAGCACTGATGATGTTACCTAATTTGGGTAATAAAATGTCTGCAAGAAAACAAGCAAGGTCAGAAGACCCCCTTGTGTCAACCCTGAGCTACAAATATTCTCCTTTATTAGAACCATGACAGCTACTGCACATTGAGCAATGGGGACATTTGTCTGGTTCAGCTTGCAGGGGCATTCTGGGAGCTGAAGTCCACACATCTTCAAATGACTATGGTTGAGCAACATTGGTCTTGTCTCAGCTGCCCATTCCTACGCGCTTCCCCCAAATCAAATCCCTCTGCATTTGCTAATTTGGATTTTCAAGAACTGAAACTGATGATCGCTGATATCTGAGGCATGCAAGGAGGGGAATCAAAGAAGTTAAGCAACTGAAGCTCCCATCTTGACATGTTGACTTTCTTCTCCTAGGCCACTGTGACTGAAGGACCTCCAACTGGTCAAACTGTTACTTCGATTATGATCCATTGTTTTTGGAATTATAGCAATAATTTTAAACTTTTAGTGGGAAGATGCTTCAAGAGTTGGCCTGGACAATGGGTATAAAAACAATAGAATAAAAAGGTTTTAAAATGTACCTAAGAGGAAGCACATTTGGCCACTTATTGATGGTTCTAATAGCAAAAAGCGACAAACAGGTGATAGTAGCTCCCACAATGGAACAATGGATGGTAAAAGGTGGTAGGAGTTGACAAATGGTAAAATGGTAAAAGGTGGTAGGAGTTAATTAACTATCTTAAAGAACTGATCTGGTTGTGTTTCTATTTGGAAACCACTTCTGGATTTTGTACTTGACACTGGAGGAAAAAATGAAATTGTAATGTAAGGTTTTGTTACTTAGCTTGATTTGGTGGTTATTGAAATGGCTTGAAATATTTATAAATGTAAAGCAAAAGGCTGGAACATTTTAAAAAAAATCTACTGCACTGAAAAAAGTCAGAACACACAAAGTTTTCTTTCTTATCTCTCTTTGCTTCCTTCTTTCTGTTCTGTACAGTCATTTACATTCTCGCAAGCCCCGCGCTGCGATTGGCTGAAGCGCGCAGTGACCGGATTGGGCGAGCGAGCCGCACTGATTGGCCCGTTACGAATACCCCGCGATTGGTGGAAACTAATCGCGGGAGATTCGAAGCGGTGCCATTGGCCACGGCCGCCGCGGCTGGGGAATAAAAGCCGCAGTTCTTCCCTCCAAGCCCAAGCTGTAACCGGAGCATAATAAAGAGCTGAAACCCAGTCACTGACTCCGAGCTTCCTTCCCGCGCCGGACACGATACTGGCGACGAGGATGGGATCCAGAGAATAACCACCGAGCACGTGTCCCGAGGAAGACAAAGACCGACAAGATGGCCAGCATGACCCCACCAGCACCATTCAACCCGGCTACCGAGGACTGGGAATCGTACACGGATAGATTCCTAATGTTCCTCGAAAGTAGCAATTTGAAGGATGTGAACGGGCAGAAGAAAAGGGCCGTTTTCCTCACACACTGCGGGCCCGCAGTGTTTAAGATGGCCAAAGCCCTCGCGAAGCCCGAGGATGTGAAGGCGATGGACTGGGCCAATCTCGAGCCACTCCTTCGGAACCACTACGCCCCCGCTGTGCCCATCCTCATCCGGCGGGACGAGTTCTATCGGCGAAACCAGCGGCAGGACGAGAGCATCAGCGACTTCATAGCCGCCTTGCGGGACCTAGGGGGGATGTGCGAGTTCCGGGACCTGGACGATGCCCTCCGAGACCGCGTGGTCCTAGGCCTCAGAGATCAGGCACTGAAAAGTCGACTGATGGCAAAAGGCAACATCGACCTCGGGGACGCCCTGGCCGAAGCTTCCGCGGCCGAAGCCACCTGGAAGTCAGCAGCCAGACTTCGGAGGGCAGACAACGGGGACCACACTGAAACCCCCGAGGCAAGCCGACGAGAGACCACCACACACCACGGGGACCTGGACTCCGCCTCCGATACCACAGACGAGGAGGAAGACGTCCACCGGCTACAAACAGGACGGGACCGACGAGATCAACGGGGTCGTAAGTCGGGGAACCAGTGCGCCGGGTGCGGGGGAAATCACCTTCGATCAGAATGCCGGTTCATCGACGCGATCTGCCGGCATTGCAACAAGAAGGGCCACATCGCCCGAGTCTGCCGACTCAGAAAAACACACAGCCCCCGCCGGCGAGAACCGAGCAGCCGGGGACGAGACGACACCCCCCCCCGAGGACCAGAGATCGCCAAGCTGACAATCGCTGGAGCCGAGACAACCGAGGGCGACGGAACGGGGAAGGCCGCCAGAGAGAAGAAACCCACCAGACGGTCACCATCGGCCATGCCGAAACCACTGATGCCCGGAAGGTCTACGTGGAGGTGAGCATCGAGGGCGAGCCATGCCGGATGGAGGTAGACTCCGGATCCTACCTCTCCATGGTCGCCTGGAAAGAACTCAAGCGACTGGTGCCAAACATCCAGAAAAGAGGACTGGAGAACCAGAAGCTGATCATCAAGGACTATCAGGGGAACCGCATCCCCGTCATTGGGACCGGACAGTTCGAGGTGACTTTCAAGAACCGCACCGCGAAGCTTCCCCTGACAATCGTGGACCGAAACCGACCCAGCCTCCTAGGACTCCAATGGTTCGCACCACTCGGAATCGAGGTCACGGGAATAAACCACACCACAGAGGCCGACTGGGAGCAGCAACTGGCGAGGGATTTTCAAGAGGTATTCGACGGCACCCTAGGCAAGTACCGAGGGCCCCCTATCTCCTTCAGCCTAGACCCAAATGTCGCCCCCATACGCCTAAAACCCAGACGGGTGCCTTTTGCACTCCGGAAGAAAATAGACGAGCAGATTGACAAGCTCGTCAAACAGGGGGTTTTGCAGCCAATCGACTATGCCCGGTGGGAGACCCCTATAGTCACCCCAGTCAAGCCAGATGGGTCAGTAAGGATCTGCGGGGACTATAAGGCCACCCTCAATTGCGCCCTGCAACAAAGCGCCTACCCCGTCCCAGTAGTGCAACACCTATTACACTCGCTGGGGGGGGCAAGGTCTTTGCGAAGCTCGACCTGGCGCAAGCCTATCAGCAACTGCCGGTCGATGAAGAAACCGCCGAGGCGCAAACAATAGTCACCCACCGGGGAGCGTTTCGTTGTAACCGACTCCAGTTTGGAGTCAGCGTGGCCCCGGGAATTTTCCAGAGCCTCATGGAGAGACTGCTGCGAGGAATCAAGGGGGTGGTCCCCTATTTTGACGATGTATTAGTGTCGGCAGCCAACCAGGAAGAATTAGAGGATCGCCTAAGGGAGGTACTAGAAAAATTCAAAGGGGCCGGGCTAAAGGTGAAGAAAGAGAAATGCCAGCTATGCACAGAGCAAGTCGAGTTCCTGGGGTACCTCCTAGACCGACATGGCATCCACCCAACCGGAAGCAAAATCAAAGCCATAAAGGAAGCCCCCACACCCAAGAACAAAACAGAGCTGCAGGCATTTCTGCTAAATTTTTACAATGTGTTCTTGCCCCAAAAGGCGACCGCGGCGGAGCCTTTGCATAGGCTCCTGGACAGGACGGCCAAATGGACCTGGGGGAAACGGGAGGACACCGCATTCAAGAACACCAAAGACCTGCTCACCTCGGATGCCGTCCTCATTCAGTATAATGAGACCCTACCCATCGCCGTCACATGCGACGCCTCACCCTTTGGCGTCGGCGCCGTCCTCAGCCATACACTTCCGGACGGAAAAGAAGCACCCATCGCTTTCTTTTCGAGAACACTCAGCAAACCCGAAAGAAACTACAGCCAGTTAGACAAGGAGGCACTGGCCATCGTCGCAGCGGTAAAGAAGTTCCACGAGTACCTCTACGGCTGCCGATTCACCATCATCACGGACCACAAGCCACTGCTGGGCATCCTGGCGGGGAACAAGGCCACCCCGAACATCCTATCCCCCAGGATGACAAGGTGGTCCGAGTTCCTCGCCGCCTACGACTACCGGCTCACACACAGACCCGTTAAGACGATCTCCCATGCAGACGCGCTGAGCCGCTCACC